GGGGGAAGTGAGACCGGAAGAGGAGGCACCAGCAAAGGGTGGATTAAGGAGCCAGTGACCACAGTGCACAACTGGAGCTCAGCCCTGCTGGGATGCTCTGGGTGACAGTATAGCAACGTGCCTCAGAGTCATCCACCCAAGGTGCACGGGGCTTGAGATGTTTACCGATCACTTCTCATTGGTCACTAGTCAAGTGCTACACTACTCCCAGGGGCCATTAGTTCTCTGACCCTCTCTTCTTCATAGTGTGTGGGCAAAGGAGGCTCTGATGGCCAGAAAATGCCCCCAGGCCCTTCGGTGTGGTGCTGGCATTGGGGAGTGGGGCTGGCATGTACCGAAACGGTAAAAGGCAAGAAGAAATAAATGGGATTCTGATTGTATCTGCTACAAGGTACACGCTCACCTTCCTCGTATCCAACTTCTCAAGCTTCCAGAAGTTATTTTTGTTTTTCTTCATGTCAGCGTTTTATTTATTAATAATGGGGAAAGTCGAAAAGTGTGTGAGGGAATATAGCATATAATAGATATATCTCTAAATAGTCACCTTGAATAACTTGATTTTCTTTGCTAGTAAGTTTGGAAATTTAATTACTTGCTTGGTGTCATGGAATAATTTCAGACCCACTGAAAAGAAAATTCAAGCCCATGTTATTGGATATCAGTTATTTTTAACCTGAGATATTGGGTCGGAACTTATTGCTTTTTTCCTGATTGTGTTTTAACCTTTGATAGTTCTGCTCTTGAATTAACCACAGCAGAGTGCGAGCTCAGTGTGGCGGGGAACTTGCCTCTTCTTTGTCTTTACATCCTTGCTCGCGTCGTGCATAGTTATTGAAAAATAAATGCGAGATTAGTAAGAGAGAGTTAACATGGAAGAAGGGGCTCTTCAATTCTGTAAATAAATTTCTGATGTGTATTAAGACACAAAAGGAAACATATCTTTGAGCCCACAAATGAGATTCCAGAGAAATGAATATAGGTATCCAACTGTCCTCATTTGTTCAGCTTCTTTGCAGTGTTTCTATTACAACAATCTAATTAGTACAGACAAAAAAAATTGGAATGTTTATACAGATAAAACATTGATGTGCTTAATGGTGGCAAAAATGCACAAGTTGCCTTTTGGTCAAGGCCTTGAATCACTTTAAGAGGAAGGATGACATTTTAAATCAAAGTCATTGCACAGCAACCATCATAAAAGCAAAACGACCTGTTGACTAGTTGGAGAGAAGAATAATGTATGAAGGTAGGACCATAAAATGATATTCTTACATTTCCTCGTATTGTCTGGCAAAGGCAATATCAAACTTGCACTGCTTCCTAATGTCAAAGATAAATAAAGGAAACAAAAATAGATAAGTTTGTTTTGAAATAGAAGCTTTTCATTTCCAAGTACTCCTTTCATAAGTATAAACATTTATATATTGCTCTTCGATAAAAATAAACCTTCAGGGGGAAAAGTAACATTAAATAGACCCATCGTCATTAATCAATTATTAAATAATGTGTCTGAGTTACTAGTGAAGATGCTTCAGATTTAATAAATATCGTTTTATTCATTCAGCTATTATTTGTTGAGAGACTATTATGCCCCTAAAAGACAGAATACAGTACTGAAGCAGAAAGATACAATCTTTCCACTCATGGAGTTTATATTCCAGTAGAGGAACACAGGCAAAACATAAGTAAACAAAATTAATACACACACACACACTTTAAGATGGTTACGGATATCATATAGAAAATAAAATATAATTAGGTTAGTTGGCTTGCTAAGGAGTTGACACTTGAGCTGGGACCTTAATGAGCAACCCAAGAAGAGGGAACTTGAACTATGACGCTCCTAAAGTGGAAATGGGCTGGTGGTGTTTGAGGAACAGAGAGGCCCTGTGGCTGGAGGAGGTGAGAGAGAGAGAGGGAGGAGGCAAGGGCAGAGGGGTCACGCCTTAGTGAGCTGTAACGAGGGGGCCGGTTGTTTTTTCCCTGTGTGCTGCAGTACACTCCTGAAGGGTTTAAATTGTTGGGGGAAACATAGTTAAAAACAAAATCTCCCAACTTAGAAAATCTCTCCACAAAGCTGGAAGAAAAGGAGAACAATCTTATTATTGAATAAGCATTCGCATCACAGGCAGTCTGCTAAAGAGAGTGCACAAACAGAAAGAAATCTGATCCTTCTGTATAGCTAAGTGGAAACTACCCATGACATTAGTTTGTTTTACAATTGTTTGCAGCTTAAAGTCAGGTCACAAGTTCGGTCCATCCTACCCAGGAAACTGGGAGATCCGGCGTTATCTTTTTCGGTGATTCTATTTCAAGGAGAAGAAGAGTAGAACAAGACCATGGTGATGACAATGATGAAGGAGAGAAAAGAATGAATTAGGGTATAGGTATTAGTCAGGGTCCTCTAGAGAAATAGAACGCATAGTGTATGTGTATGTGTGTGTGTGAGTGTGTGCATGCACATGTGTGTGCATGCATGCATGTGTGCACACACATGTCTGTCTATCTGTCTACCATTTATCTATCTTTTGAGAGATATTTATTTTAAGGAATTGGCTCATGCAGTCGTGGAGGCTGGCAAGTCCAAAATCTTCAACACGGTGTGCTGTAGAGAGAGCCAACAGTCTGCTTTTGTCCTAGAGAGTGAGGGAAAGCTGGGAATCCAGGATGACTCCTAGGCTTTTGACTTCTGGATCTGGGCGGATGACGATGCCATTAATGAGAAAGAGAAGATCAGATGTTTGTGCGTTAAATACCATCATATTTAGAGTAAAATTAAGATAAAACTACAGATGAAAATTGAGTGCATGAAATAAAAGTCAAATTTTTAAAACCTCTGAAAGAGGAACTCTATTTGTGCATGAAAATTTTCAAGCACCTTACTTTAAATGGCTGGTTACCCACTGGTTGGTTGACTGAATTTGGGTGGTTAACATGTGTTGGTTACTAGAGAGTAGGTGGAAGATATGTTTATTATTGATGAGTTGTTACTGAGCAAAAGCACCTGAAAACTGGAAGATAAGTCTAGATAGGGAAAAAATAGATGGAGTAGCAGATACATGTAAAGGGCAGTATAGTTGAATTTATATGACAAAATTTTCAGAGTTCATTACCTTTTAAGGTTAGGGGAGCCTCGATTTATATTTGAGTGTAGGAAATTATCATAGTAACTGTTTTTTTAAAACACCTTTTTATTTTCTGTTTTCCTCTGTTTTATTGTGAAGAAAACTGCATATTATTAAAATTTTGATTTTATTGCAATGAAGAAAGGGTCTCATTTTGTTATGGTAGGAGACGGGCAACCGCAAAATGAGATCAGTCCCAGACAGGAGTTCATCTAGATGGGAAGAGATTTGGTCCAACAGAGCATGTTGAGTTGACAGATGTCAACTCCAGGGAAGCCAACAGAAGCAGGTGTTCTGAATGCAGTGTCAATTGAGTCCTGATTACAAGAAATCAAACCAGCAGAAATGAGGAACCCAGCCCAGGAACCCAGGCAGAGGTTCAGTTAAGAATCAGGAACTCAGATGAGACAGGCAGGAGCATTCTAACAACAGTGTTCACAGGAGTGAGGCAGGAGAAAATAATCTTTTGAGGCAAAGATACATGATAAGGTCTGAGTTGATAGTACCAGAACTGACCTCAGAGTGTATGTAGGTGGCGCTAACTTCACTGGGGTGTTGAGGGAAATAAATAGAATTTGGCTCGTAAAAGTGCTTTGTACACATTAAAGGATTCTGTTAGTGGTACTGTTATTACTTTGTTGTATTTCACTGGCGTGATTTGATTAAAAATAATGAGCACATTTAGTCAGACCCTCAAACATCTGCGATACTGGCAGCTCATTTAGAAAGAACCACTTAAGTAGAAGGTATTTAGTAAAACTTCACAAGAATTGTTTAACTTATATGATGTCACAAAATTAAAACACTTTATCTATTCTTAAAAAAAAATCAACAACGACAATGAAAAGGAAAACGCTTTACATGCATTCGATTTTGAATTAAGGAAAAAAATATGCTTACCAGATTGTTTTTTCTTTTTTTGGCAAGAGGAAGTTGAGTTTTGCCAGCTAGCAGCTATGTACTATAAACATAAACCATCTCTCTATATATTTATTTTAATCACCAGCCCCAAACGACAAGTAAATTTGTAAAGTTATTCTCATATATATTAAATGATATAAAACTTACATTCATTTACCCTATTACACTTTTAAATACATGTTTGATCTTTTTTATATAAAGGCTAGATTTAATATGCCAATGAATCAAAAGTTAAGATTATATAATAGATATTAACTTGTCACTAGATAGTAGGTCTCTAAATTACCTACTGTTGGAGGGGAAGACAAAACAAAACAAAAAGCTGTAGTTGCCTATACCTGAACTACCCAGAAAACACTTAGTTCAAACATTTGCTGAACATAAAATGAAGGTAAAATTTCCTAAAATAAAATTATTTTTTAAGTTACCAAAAAACCTTCCTAAGATTATAATTAGAATAATTATGTATAAATTTCATCTCTCTCGAAGAGAGTAAGGATGAGTCAGACATCACAGTTTGATTCCAGGAAATACATGTATTTAATTTTATAGCTTATTATGTTCATATCCAAATTTTCTTTTCCCCGATGGGTATTATTTC